CAACTCTCACCAAGCAATTCAATTGATGGAAATTCACTTCCTTCAGTTTGGAGCTTGGAAGTGGGGAGTTCAGTGAGGCTGAAATGAAGAAAATTATGGCAAACGAGAAGCTTGCGGAGATTGCAATGGCTGATCCAAAGCGTGCAAAGAGGTATCCTACTTTTCTAATCTGATAACTTTCTTGATCATGCTAATGCATTGCACTTAACTTATTGGTTGATCCTTTTTAAGGATTCTGGCTAATCGTCAATCAGCTGCCCGTTCCAAAGAAAGGAAGATGCGGTATATTTCGGAATTGGAGCACAAGGTTCAGACTCTGCAGACTGAAGCTACCACATTGTCTGCTCAACTAACACTTCTACAGGTGGATAATTTTGGAACACAAAATATTATTTATATTTCCTATTCTTCTTTACCTTATCCTCAACTTTAAATCGATGCAGAGAGATTCTGTCGGCCTTACAAACCAGAACAATGAGTTGAAGTTTCGTATTCAGGCCATGGAGCAACAGGCACAACTTCGTGATGGTACGATCTGATTTCATTTTCTTAAACTTCAATCTTCTCCTTTTGACAGAAAAAGTAGTTAGATTTTTCAATGTAATGTATGCAGTTACCGAGATCAATTGGACGTATATGGCAATTTAGGTCTTGGATCAGCATGCTTTATTCTTCCAAGTCGTAGTATTCCATTTACTGTTTTTCGTGATACTGCGAATATTCATCTTCTACTTTTACAGTGCCATTGAGAATGAGAGATTCTTGAGACATATTTATGCGTGTGCAAGTATATAAGATATTTTTATCTTTTATAGGAAATGTATGGTTCTTACTTCTAATCCTTTGTTGCTACTCCTTTGCTGTTTGATTTTGGGATCAACTTACTGCATTATATTTCTTTGCCTCCTCCATCATACTTATTGTAATTGTCGTCGAGGGACAAAAATTTCGAAGACGGGAACCGGGAAGTGAAATCGTCAATGTTTATTATGCTTGTTTGTAAAACTCTATTAAGATGTTAGATTGATATTTATCTTATCGTGTTGCATTTGGACAGCTCTAAACGAAACATTAACCTCTGAGGTCCGGCGGTTAAAGCTTGCTACTCGAGAGCTAGGCAGTGAAGCTGATCAGACTAAGGGTATGGCCTCGCAGCGACTTCCGGTTAACCAGCAGATGTTCCAGCTACACCAGCACCAGCAGTCTTCCCAGCTTAACATTTGCCATCAGTTCCACCAGCAGCAGCAATCCCAACAGCAGAACGGGAACACGATGACGAAATCCGAGTCGAATCAGTAGCTCGTGACTTCTCGGAGAGTTGGAAAGTGACGCCGCGTATTTCACTATGTTATTATTTCTGGTTTACATGATGTAGTAAAACGCTTTGCTTTATTTTATTTTATTTTCACCCGTGTTAGATCTGCTTATACTATATAAAACTAAAAGTTTTACATCAATTTAAGTTCATTAGATTTAGATAAATAGTTTAGATTTAATTAAAATTTATAATCCATAAATAAATAATTTTTGTTTTTTATTCTTCAATTGTATACTGAACTATTCATTCTCAGCCGTCTTCTTGTCCTCCTATTAAGTATTAACTAGATAACAGGAGGTCAAGGTCGCCCATGTTACATGTTTCCTGTCATTGTTTGACAGATACATATGTCTCTAATGCAGCTTCTAACATCAATACCTAAATAGTACCATTCTTTTACAGGTCTCTAATCTAGCGTTTTATCCATCCATCCAGAATAGCAATGGCGATCCGCCTGCCTCGTATTGTGAGCTCTTAGAAAGTTCCCAAGGGCCACATCGTGGTTTATGTCGGAGAGAAACCGGAAGAGGTTTTGATACCGGTGTCGTTCTTGAACCAGCCTTTGTTTCAAGATTTGCTAGGCATGTCTGACGAAGAATTCGGATACACTCATCCTACTGGCGGTATCGGAATTCCCTGCAACGAAGACACATTTCTTGATGTTGCCTCTCGCCTGAACCGATTGTGGGAGAATTAACCCAAATCAACCAATACAATTTTGTAAAGCAAACATCTAATACTGTGTATACACTTTCTTCCATCCATTTTTCCTTGGGGAAAAATTATAGATGATGATTCTGTAACTATTACCAGTACGAAGATTTCATTTCTTTTCATAATTGCCTCTGATCTCATTCTTCTTGCTAGTTTCATATTTAATTCAAATTTAAATGAATAACATTGTTCCAAAATTTGTTTCCTTTTCTGTTTTTCTTTTCATACTTGGCATGTCCAGTTAATAAATCAAACTTTTCTGTCAAATTTCTGACCAAATTATAAGGGTTATAATTATTGAATACTCATCTTTTGTCCACATTATTGAATTATAAGGGTTATACTTTTCTGGCAAAAGTTGTTGGAGGCATGTTTTAATCTCATTTGTTGTTGTCTCCAAGGCTTGCATCCTCTGCTCCAAATCACGTTGTTGATGAAGCCACAAAGTTGGAATCGTTTCTGCTCCGGAGGACCCTTCTTGATCAGCAGGAATGATCGGCGGTGGATCATTGCGAGTCATTTGCGGTGGTTTTCGTGTTTTACCCAATTTGAAAAAAAAATATTTACTTTCGGATCAAAATAACATTGCTCTGGATACCAATTGTACAGAATAATGTTGAAATCTAAGAAAGAATTGAAGAAATAGAGTAGAATAGATTTGAGGAAAAAGAACTTTAGTGCATTTTCATCGATGATTTTATTTGTTGATTACAACCGGTATATAATTGAAGATTGCTCAAATAAAAGATTTCCAGTTGTATTGTCCTTTTCTAACAACTTAGATTCTTCTTAACCGTTGCTTCTTCTTCTACATTCATTTTCAAGCTATTGGGCTTGTTCCTCCTCCGGTCCATGACACCCATCTGGTCCTTGATCCCATTAGGTATGTTCAGTGCCTGCTGATCTTTGCTCCCATTAATTCCTTTTTCTCCAAAATCCCTAATTCGATTCCCCTTTTCTTTTCAATTGAAATCCCTAATTCCATCGTTTTTCCTAATTGCTCTTCATCATTTCTCATTTCCACCTCGTGGGTCATTACACTAAAGTCCATCTCCAATACCCAAATTCTTATCTCAAAATTTTCATTTCTTCCTCCAAAACAATCATTTCTTTTCCTTTTGTCCTCCTCCCTTTTCTCTTCCAAACCATTCTTTTTTTCCTTTTCTATCTATGTAACACCCTTAACTTGTATACGTACCCAAATACGAGTCAATAGCTTTACATACAATCTAAAGTAGAAAATCCAGTAAAATTTTAAAATTTATCCAATTTAATACTTTCAATAAATAATGTAATCACACAAAATCATATTATAGTATTTACGCCTTCAAATCAATATCAGCTTCAGACAACAACTAAACTACTCTATATTCTTCCATATCATAAAATAAACTGTCTAAATTAAAATATTTCTTTACTCTATCAAAATATAATTTTTATTTAAAACACATAACTTAAATTCGTGTTTATATCAATAATAACACATCTTAGATTTTTCTTATTCGTAAACATGCTATCTAGAAAAATTAAAATATTATGATGTCATTATTGATGTCTTAACTTTTTCTTTATTGATTGATGTCAACTCAACTCCTTACTTCACTTGCAGTTCTTTACCTACACGTGAAAATCATCATAAGCTAAGTATACACTTAATGAGGCATTATAAACAAATTAAATTGATATAAATATCAAACAACTTAACAACATCTAAACAACATATTCACTTATATAAAACTTAATAATATCATAACAATTTAAAACATCAACTTAAATTCCAATAAAATCACTAAATATCCAAACCGATTTATTCAAGCCATTTATAAGTTCATATATTCCTAAAATTTTAGAAGTTTGTTCATTAACATAAAATTATGCGTCCATGCATAGTTACAATCGAAAATATTATATTACGATGGGTTTTAATATAAAATATTATTTGTCTACTCTAAAAACGTACACAATTGATAATAATTTCGATTACAACCGATAATTTAGAATAAGTTATTCCCAATTGAGACATTATAATCAAAGTGTATCTAGTTCAGCCTTTTCGTTGATAATAGAATAATCGACTCATTCTGTCAATATTTTTCATTAATTAAACAAATTGATAGTTAATTAATAAAAGAATCAATACAATAATATCACGTGATAACTCTGAAGGTATCACATTATAAATTTTAAAAATTATAAAAAATAATTTCCTAAACATCAAAAATCTATTCAAAGCAATTTCTTTTTTAGAGAGTTTAAATTTTATTTCATCTGGTGAAGTTTCGATTCTATATTCGAATGATTGAATCAAATATAATTTAAAATTTCTTTAAAATATTAATCACTTTTGATATATCAAAATAAGTTCAACATAAACTATAACTTGTAAGTTGTAATAGAACAGATAAAACTTATAATCACCTTAGCTTAATTAAAAAAAATTGTAAATTGTAATCACACTGGATTAAAAAAAGAAATAGATAAATATACAATTCTTCCTTTTACATATTAATCTCAACATTAGATTCATGGAATTTATGGTGTTTTCACGTTAAATAGATACATGAATTCGTGTTTTGGAGGGTGCAAAAAATTTGATGAAAAAATTTGAGATCCATCAATCTTCGGTGGTGATTGGAATGACGAACGACACGTTACTTAAATTTAAATAAATTTATAGACAGAAAAATATGAAAGGAAACAAAAATAAAATAAGAAAAATACAAAATAACTTTGGTAGGAACACAAAACGACGTTGTTTAAAATACATGTGAAATTAAAATGATATCATTTTAGCACGTATTAATATATCGTTCGTTATTAACGGTAGAATGAGCAAAAATAAGTATAATTTGAAAGTTTTTATTTTAAATGATTAAAATAAGAGTGAGAAATAGTTGAATGGTAACATTTGTAATTTACCCTTAAAAAGGAACAACGGCACTCAATTAGAGCCCCAAGAGTGAAAAATCTTTAGTCTCATCCTTTCTCGTCATCAGAGCTTGTTTTCTCCGTCCGTTGCCCAAGTCTACTTACAAATCAAGGCAAAGTGATGGCGCCGCCGCCTCCATGTCCACACCCGACCAGAGATCCCCGCCGTCGTAATTTCTTTTTGCTCTGTTCGTTTGGCGCACAATGTTGAAAATTCATTTTTTAAATGTTTTTTTAAAGAATAATTCATCCACTTGAGATTTTTTTTTTACATCTGTCGAACTCCTGAAGTGTTACTCCATTTTTTGTTCGAACCGAATTCCCGGTTTAAAATTCAGCCATGGAAGGACCCGAAACGAGCTTGGTTGAAGTAAGAGAAGAGCTCATGGTCTCCCCAGGTTTCGAAACCCTAAACGCTTGTTCAAAAACAGCCCATTTCCTCAAACCCATTTCCGGTTCCCTCGAAACCCAACTTCCCAAGCTTCCTTCGCAATTCCTTTCGGATCTGGAACGATCTTCTTTTGAACCCAAAGATCCGCCCTTGAGTATCGGTTTCCATGGGTGGAGATGCAGGGCTAGTAACTGGTCCATCTGGGTCGACAAGATGAGGGTTTTGCACGAACCGACATGGAAGAAAGCTGGAATCTTTGATGCCATCTTGAATTCGACTTATCAGATTAAGCGAAACAGTGGTTTAGTTCTCGGGCTAGCTGAGAAATGGTGTTGCGAAACCAAAAGTTTCATCTTATCTTGGGGTGAAGCCAGTGTTACACTCGAAGATGTGATGATTCTCGGGGGATTTTCCGTTTGGGTTCCCCTGTCTTCGCCCCTCTGGAAACCGAAGAATCGAAGCAAGTCGAAGAGAGTTTAAAGAGTGCAAGGATCGAAATCGTGAGAAGCAAAGCTAAAAGGCCTGCCCTCGTTTGTGGATGCAGAGATTCATGGACAATGCCGGCGAATTCGAGCACGAAGCGTTTCTCGCCTTTTGGCTCTCGAGGTACGTTTTCACCAATGCGCACGAAACAATTAGGGAGCATGTTTTCTCCATTGCAGTTCATTTAGCTAGAGGGACAAAGCTTGCTTTAGCACCTGCTGTACTCGCTAGTATTTATAGAGACTTGTGTCTGTTGAAAGATGCAATCACTGCTTCCACCAAAATGGGGAAAGATGAGGTGTTCAAGCTTACCCTTTGGTCACCTTTTCAATTAGTTCAGGTTTGGGCTTGGGAGAGATTTACAGAGCTGAGACCTCAACCGAATCTCATAGCAAAAGGCGAGCCGAGGCTGGTTCAATGGCATGATGTGAGCTGCAAGGTTGAGAATGTGAGGTTAGCTCTAGAGTCAGCTAGTGGAAGTTTCGAATGGCGTCCTTATACCAAGCAGATCGATAACTGGAAACAACCTAAGTTTTATAGAGAGAATGAAGTTTGTATATGGACCACAGCTCGACTTGATAAAGAACTAGAGTCGTTTGTTCGATGCTTGAAGGTTAGTGAGCTAGTGGGACTCAATTGCATAGAACAGTACCTTCCTCATCGAGTTGCAAGGCAGTTTGGAATGGATCAGGATGTTCCTGGTTGTGTTCCTCAATCGAAAAATCAGACTCATGAGGTTGCCTGGCTTAATTACTGTGAATCACTTACTGGTGTAAAATTATACATTCCATCTCGGTTCTATAAAGCTGGTGTTACGGCGCGGTACTTGAAGTGGTGGAAGGATTCGGTTTTGGAGAGCAAAAGCACAGGTAAGCGTTTGAAGAAATCAGCAAAGAATCCTAAAGGGAAGCGACGGGAAAGTTCTTCAGGTTGCTCTGGCTTTCATCAGAAAATAGAGTGTTTCCATGGAAAGATGGAAGCTAATGATCCATCGGTTTCTCCTAATGGTGCCATGAAGATCTCAAAGAAACAAGGAGACGGTGTCAACAAGACTAAGAAATCTAAGAGTGTATCCCAGATTTTGGAACAAAAGCAAATTCGCGATGACGACTCTACTTCTCCTGCCTCTTGTAGAAAGAACTCTAAGAAATCAGTGAAGAATCCGAAAGGAAACAAAAATGGAAGGGAAGAATGTTCTTCTCCTGATGTTCCTTTGGGAAGTTCGAAAGAATCAGCACAAACTCTGAAAAGAAAGAAGAGAGACAACGGCGATTCTGCTTCTTCCAATGTTCCTTTGGGAAGCTCGAAAGAATCAGTACAGACTTTGAAAAGAAAGAAGAGAGACAACAGTGATTCGGCTTCTCCCAGTTTGAGTGAAAAACGCATGAAAAAGTCCACAGAGAAATCTAAAGGAATAAAGAAAGATGATCCTGTGTCTGCCTCTTCTAAACCTGCTTTTGGAAGCTCCAAAAAACCAGCATTGGCTATGAAAGATAAGGAGGAAGGTAGCAGCTATGTCGCCTCTCATGTTTTACCTTCAGCGAGTGCAAAAGAATCACCATGTACCCTAGAAAGAAAGAACGGAAATAGTTCCTCGGACCCTATCTGTCTTGAGCACAACGTTAACAGAAAGGAAGCGGAGGATTCTACTGAGGATTATAACCCGACTATTGCAGAAATTATGAGATCCTGCAAGAAGCGTCACGATATTAGAACAAAAGATTCCGATGATGATGGAAACCCATCAGGCCATTCTCAAGGTCTTTCGTCGACGATTGCGGACGACGAAGCTGTTAAATATTTTGAGCCGTTGGCAATGTTGGCAGAAAAGGTCATCGAGGACGAATCCATGCTAAGAGTAGGGGAAACTTTCGAAGGTCCCTACAGAGATCAGAGAACCAGAGATGGTGCAGGAGGAAGCTGCGATGGGAGAATCAAAAGAACAGCAGAACGTGAAAAGGAGGACAACCCCGAACAACCAGTTCACGAGATGCTAAGCATCAACGGTGTTGAAGGAGAGTGCAGTTGCTATGCGGTCGACATACCGGGATTAACGCTCGAAGCCCGGATCAGCAGGCTTGAGAAACTGGTTGAAGAGCTAAAAGCAATGAGATCGGCTTGCAAGTAGTCTCTTGCCATTAGCATTAAGATGTACTTTACTCATTTTTAATTTATATGATTAGAATGATGCTTATGATTTTCTTCGGTTGGGAAGAACAGAGTAAACTTGCGAAGCGCTGCTTTGGTTTTGACCAAACATTGTAGTAGAGTAAAAACATGTGTTTATTGATTGGTATAAATTATGACTGCTATGAATGTGTCTGATTATTGTAGTTTTCATCTACATTTTTACTATAATTTGATCAGTTCTTTTTACTTTTTGAAATTATAGTTTCTTATTCTACTGATAACATATATTATGACTGTCCACATGGTCTCTTATGATTAAGTCCGTTTCGATTTGATCACCGATTTAAAAGAGTGATTTCAATTTCTTGTATTATCGGTTCGTTCAGTTTTTGTCTTTCAATTCCCGCTAATCCATTAACGGAAGTATGAGTTGACAATTAAAAAGTAAAAAATTCTCTTGTCCATGTTTTTTTTTTTTTTGCATCAGAACTAACAAACAAAACGAGAGTTAACGAAAAGAAACTAAAATTACTCTTTTTCTTAGCGAATGATCAAATCGAACAAACCGAAAATATAAAGAACCAAATAAATTTAAATGATCAGATTATAACATAGACTGAAACCAGAAAACACAGTTTAATAACCTTCTGTAGAATGGGAATTGAATTTTTCTAGCATAAAATCATCAAATACAATAGCTGTCTGATACCAAAATATGGACCCATCATTACCCTAGCAAGCATTGCCGGTACTGTTTACAGTAATTATCCAACACTAACTATTAAAATTAGGGGTGCAAAAAGATCTGACCAGATCAGGGGATCCAATTTGAAATTTTAGATATCTGATTTAATTTTTAGTTTTCGGATTATTTAGATCAGATAATCGGATCAGATATGGATCAAATAAGTTTTAATTTTGGATTATTCAAAAATTTGAAAATATAATGGGCTTTTAGATTTTTCATACTCTCTAGCCCAATAAATGAATAATCCACTTACATATTAAGGCTTTAATCCAATAAAATTTAAGATATTTAATTATTTATTATGTGTGAGTAATTAAATATATATGAAAAATATAGTAGAAGTATCGAATAAGTTATATTAAATCATAAAATTTAAATTTTAAAATTTTTTTTTTGTCAAATTAAATTTTAAGTCGGATTTGGATATCCGATGCGAAAATTCGGATATCTAATTTTTTGGTATCAGATACATATCACTATTTTAGTATCTGAGATTTTTGGATATCCGAATTTCCACTAGGGACAGATCCATAACTAAATATTGACAGAGGCCGAAATATTAGAATATTTAAGAAAAATGTAAAGATGTATTAGTATTTAAACTCAAAATTCAGCATGAATCAAGTGACCTTAGTGATTAAAAGATTGTTATTATCATTGAGGTCTTGAGTTAGAGCACTGCGCATGTAGGGGTATGAGCATTCATTGTCAAATAGTTGAGAGTCTTTGTACAAATATTACCTTGTATTCTCCCTATATTTACAAATAAAAAATTAAAAAAAAAAACTCAAAATTCACAAGATAATACCTAATTTGTCTAATATTTAAACTTACAATGACTTAAATTGTTATTAGACCAAAAATTTGACAAAATCTTTTCATTGGTATAATCGAGCATTCAAAGAAACATCTTTATTTAATTATTACGAGAAACTTAAAATTAATATTTTCTTTAAATTTAAATTTAAATTTAAAGTGTACAGTTAACAAATAAGCGATCATTTTTTTCATCACAAAGGTCCATCAAACAATCTCAAATTAGTAATCGATTCTATGTTTGCGGAATCATCTTCAAATTACCTTAAATCATACTACCTTTTTTATTTTTATATTTTTTATTTATAAAAAATTGCTAATTTTACTAAAAATAGAAAATATACATAATTATAATAAAGATTTACGAGCATAATTGTAAACGTAAACTAAATTATAATTAGAACATTTTCCTATAAACATTAACACAAAAACTAGCCACCTAGATCATATAAGTACCATAAAAGAAAAAAGTTAAAAAACCTAACCAATACTCGAATAAAATAAATATATGAACAAATATGACTGCATCGGAAAACGAACCACAAAAGGGATGAAACTATTGAAAAACCACCGATAAATCGTAAATTAGAGTCAAGCGACGTGAGAAAACTATTTACGAGCACAAAACGTGTATCCAAATCAATCCGAGAGTCCAAAGCAAGGAAGATCAGTAGGATAACAAATAAGCATCTTCTTGATCAGTTGTAATGATGTCAAATCTAACCATGTGAAAAAAAATAAACGAAAAAAGGTAAAAATCCGTAAACTACCAAAAGGCAGAGAAAAATGTGTCACAAAGACAGAGATAAATGTATCATAAAGACATACAACATGTTACAAATACATAATTATTTTTTTTTAAAAAAAATTAAAAAAAGCAAAGAAAAAAGATAATTGACGGGCGACAACCTGCATCAAAACTGATGTTGTCACCAGTGAAATAAAATTAAATAAGAAAAAGTTGAATTGATCAATGAAATTGACATAAATTATAAAGAAAAAAAAAGGAGAAAGAGGAAGAGGAAGAAAGTGACTAGAGTTTTTTTTTATGTTTATATCTAAATATCAATTAACTAGCAAGGACGTAAGATTTTATTATGGGACGTGGATTTATAAAATTTTAAAATGAGTGAATTTATAAAAAAAATAGGAAAAAAATATACTATCAATAAAAAATATAAAAAAAATATTTAAAATACATGAGAGTTTAAAATTTCTAAAGACGATTGCCCGTCCACCCTAGATGATTGGGTCCATTCCTATTTCGAACCATTCTTTCTTTATAATCGTTGTAAAAATCATGGACCTACAACATTACATTTCTAAAGATAAGTTGTTTTAAGTAAAACATTTTCAAAAAAAAAATGTTTCATTGTTTTTCACTGTTTAATTCACGGAAAATAAGTTAGTGAATTTAAAATATTTTTCTGGTCAACTATTTTGAATTTTTTGAAAAATAACTTACGATCTAATTTTTCGAAAGTTATTTTTTGAATTTTTCATTTCAAAACATAAATACTTAAAATAATATTATTTCATGTATTCAACGCTAATATAATATTTTAATAGTGTTTTAATAAAAATATTATTTATTAAAATATTTTAAAAAAATATTTATTCATATTTTTAATAATTTTATATAATATACTAAATTATATTATAATAATATATGATTTTAATAATATATAATTTTAATAATATATAATTTATTATAAATTTATATTATTTATTAATTTCATAAAAGAAATGCACGAATTAAATTATCTCAGTAGTTACATGAATTGTTGTTGTTTTTAGAGGTTGCGAGTTTGAGCACCAGTAACTATAAGGGTGGTTAAGCGTTCGTTGTCAAATGATTGAGAATACTTATAACATATACTACTTTATAATCACATTGGCTTAATAAAAAATTATAAAAGAAATATTATTGAAATATTAATAATGAATAATATTATTTATATATTTAATATTAATATAATAATCTAGTAATATTTTAATAAAAATACTTCAAATATATTTATTTATAATTTTTTAAATATAATATAATTTTTTAAAAAATAATTAATATAATTTATAATAACTTTATTTGACTATAGTATACTATTTTAATATGTTTATTTTTAAATTTAAAGAAATATTATTTTAATAATAAAGTTGAAATAAATAATATTAAATAAAACATTCTAATATTTTAAAACTAATAATATTAAGTTTTATAATAAATAGTATTTTTTATTATATTTGATATTTTTATTGAATAATTTCTAAAAATACCAATTAGTATAAAATGATTTACACAACATCTTTCAAATATTGAAATATATTTTTCGAAAAATGTATCACAATATTTTTCGAAAAATATTTTCAATAAAATAAATATGCTATAAAATAAAATAAAAAAGTTTTTTCAAATTCAAATATGATAATTTTTACTTGCATTTATATAGAAAATCAACTTTTAGTCCAATATATTTGATAAATTACCCAAATATGGACACAATTTAATTGTAATTAAAGTAAATTACTTAATTACCTTGAGACTAAAAAGCCCTAGAACACTTGATTTTAAGAGCAAAAGCTTTGAAAACCAGACATAATCATTTGACAGCAGATCTTATGCCTCTGGTGATGACAGATTCAGCACGCTCACTTCTGTCAGATTATGAGTACCTGAAAATAGGGGTGTTCAAATAATCGAACTAATTCGGTTAACCGATCGAACCGAATTAGTTCGATTAATTCGGTTTGGTTGGTTAACGGTTAAGAAAATTTTTAAAATTCGATTAACGGTTAATTCGGTTCGAATTCGATTAATTAATCGAATTAACCGAAATTAAATTTTAAATATTAAATATATTATATATAACATATGGGCTCAACCCAAATCATTTAAAACCTAATTAATAATTTAAGATCCAATAACTTTTAAATTTAAATCAATATTAATTAATTAAAAAATTATATAAATTTTTTATTTTATAATTATATATTATTTAAATTATTTGTAAACTGTTTTTTAATTAAAAAATATTAAATATATTATATATAACATATGGGCTAAGCCCAAACCATTTAAAACTCAATTAATAATTTAAGATCAAATAACTTTTAAACTTAAATCAATATTAATTAATTAAAAAATTTATCTAAAATTTTTATTTTATAATTATATATTATTTAAATTAATTATAAACTTTTTTTGAATTAAAAAATATTTAATTTTTATATAAATTTGAAATTTTTTAAAAAAAATTCGGTTAATTCAAAATTAACCGAATTAACCGAAATTTATTCGGTTCGGTTAATATGTTCGAAAAAAAATTCGGTTCGATTAACGGTTAAAGAAAAAAAAAGTTTGATTAATTCGGTTCGGTCGGCCACCGTTTTAACCGAATGAACACCCCTACCTGAAAACAGCAGTAGGTCTTTTTTAA